TTGCCCATCCTTGGCAGATCCCCTTGGAGTGCCTCACAATCCTCACTGGTTTTCACCACCCTGAACAACTTCGTATCATCCGCAAATTTAGCCACTTCACTGCTTACTCCCAACTCTAAATCATCAATGAACCAGTTAAAAAGCAGTGGACCAAGTACTGATCCCTGCGGTACCCCACTGCTTACCACCCTCCACTGAGAAGATTGTCCATTTATACTCACTCTCTGTTTTCTATTAATTAGCCAGTTTTTGATCCATAAAAAGACATAATAGTCACCATCTCAGAAGCGGCCTACCGCACAGGGTTGTTGTGTACTGAGTCTGAGTTGTCCCTATGAACAACTCCCTTTTGAAGCCGTCCATGCTTGTAGCCGCCACCACTTCCTGTGGCCGTGAATTCGATGCTTTTGAATGATGGTGCTGGAGAAGACGCTTGAGAGTCCCTTGGACTGCAAGGAGGCCACATACCCTAAAAGACATCAACCCTGACTGTTCCCTGGAAGGCCAGACGATGAAGCTGAAGCTCAAAGACTTTGGCCACCCAATGAGAAGGGAGCACTCACTGGAGAAGACCCAAATCAGGAGACGCAAACGGCACTTGCCTGTCTCGACGTCGAAGGCCAGCTTGTCCCGCCCTTCCTCGTAGCTCCTCCCCGCGAAGTGCAGTGTGAGGGAGAAGGGCTGCCCCCGCCGCACCACCAGCTGCTGGCAGCCCATTTCCGAGGTCCGGTGGTCCCGGTGGTTGCGCTCGCATCGCAGGTCGCAGGACTGCAGCTCCAGATCTGCAAGGCCAGGAAGAGACCATGAGAGCCCTGCTCGCCATCTCAGTCTCTCTCTCACACAGATGCCAACCTCCCAGTGGGGCCTGGAAACCTCTGGAGCCAGCCACCCTTTTGCTACCGCCACCACTGCCTCCCCCCCCGCAGCTGTCAGACCCAGCGAGCACACCCCACATGTTCCTGCAGCGCCCTCCAAGATGGAAGAGAGATTTCTCTCGTGCTCCGCTTCCGAAAACAATTTGGGAGGGAGGTGGGGGGGGATCCTGTCTCCAGGCGCGGGAGGCTCACCGGATGCCTCTCCCCAATTAGCGAAGTGCTGACACTTGGAGAACTGCTCGCGGGCTTTTGGCGGCGGGGGGGGGGGAGGCACAGCTCGGCGCCCCATCCAGGGCCCAGCACTCTAGGCGAATGCCTAGTTCGCCTAGTGGGTGAGCCGGCCCTGCACATACCCCTGGCTAGAACAAGGCTTGCCAGCTCTGGCCTGGGAAATTCCTGGAGATTTGGGGGTGGAGGGCAGGGTTAGGGAGGGGAGGGGCCTCAGCAGGGTATAATGCACAGCCACGGTCTCCAGGGGAACTGATCTCTGTCGTCTGGAGGGCAGTTGTGATTCCGAGAGATCTCCAAGCCCCACTGGGGAGTTGGCAACCTATGATGTGCAAACAACACATGCCACCCCCCCTGCTCTGCAGCTGTCCACACAGGAAGAAGGAGAAGGTGAAGAAGAAAGAAGAAGAAATTGGATTTATACCCCTTGTTTCACTCGGAGTCAAGGAGCGGCTGACAAACTCCTTTCCCCCCCCTCCCCACAACAGACACCCCCTGTGAGGTAGGCGGGGCTGAGAGAACTCTGAAAGAACTGCTCCTGAGAGAACAGCTCTGAGAGAACTTGTGACTGACCCAAGGACACACCAGCAGCTGCACGTGGAAGAGCTGGGAATCAAACCCGGTTCTTCCAGATTAGAGTCTGTGCTCTTAACCACTACACCAAACTGGGAGGAAGAGGAAGAAGAAGAAGAAGAAGAGATTGGATTTATACCCGCCCTTCACTACCTGAAGGAGTCTCAGAGCGGCTTACAGTCTCCTTTCCCTTCCTCTCGCCACAACAGACACCCTGTGAGGTAGGTAGGGCTGAGAGAGCTCTGAGAGAACTGCTCCTGAGAGAACTTGTGACTGACCCAAGGTCACACCAGCAGCTGCATGTGGAGGAGAGGGGAATCAAACCAGGTTCTTCCAGATTAGAGTCCACGCCCCTAACCACGACACCAAACTGGCTCTCAGAGACAGACAGACATTTGCCGTAGGCTGTCGAGTGAACGTGGAGCAGAGCTGAGCGCCACGCTTTGCACTAACCGCTAGCCTACACTCTCCCAAGGCTAGTTGATGGGGCTGGCATCATTCATTTCGATGGAAGGGCTGAATAAACTGCAGGCAGATCATATGTACGGAGGCTGAATGAACCGGGGAGGGGGATTTAAAGAGACCCGTTGAGGATTTGGGAGAGCTTTGTTGGAATACACAAAGCTTCCTTATACTGAATCGGGCCCTGGGTCCATCAAGTTCAATATCGCCTACTCAGACGCGCAGCTACTCTCCAGGGTCTCAGGCAGAGGTCTTTCCCATCCCGGACTACCTGATGCTTTTAACTTGAGATGCCGGGGATTGAACCTGGGACCTTCTGCATGCCAGGCAGAGGCTCTCCCACTGAGCCACGGCCCCTTCCCATAGCTCTCCAGGGTCTCAGGCGGAGATCTTTCCCGTCACCTCCTGCCTGGTCCTTTTTAACTGGAGATGCCGGGGATTGAACCTGGGACCTTCTGCGTGCCAGGCAGAGGCTCTGTCACTGAGCCACAGCCCCTTCCCATAGCTCTCCAGGGTCTCAGACGGAGGTCTTTCCCATCCCCTACTACCTGATGCTTTTAACTGGAGATGCCGGGGATTGAACCTGGGACCTTCTGCGTGCCAAGCAAATGCTCTACCACTGAGCCACTGGCCCCTCTCTAAAGAGAGAGGCTCATCCTCCTTGGAAGCCACATCAGCACTGGAAGCCCTGCCCCTTAACCAGGGGGAAAGCACTCTGTGCATCCTCAGAGATATTGCTTTATTACTATTTCACACACTTTTGAGACTCACTGACATCTCGAAAACAGGTTCCAAGGTGATCCCTGGTAGGGAGAAGGAAGCCATGAAGACAAAGTGCGGGTATGCAAAGGAGTTTCAGTGTTCCCTCTAATCTGAGTTGGTGTGAGCTAGCTCACAGTTTCTTAGCCTCCGGCTCACACCTTTTTGTCTTAGCTCAGGAAGGAAGGCTCCAGAGAAAATTAATTTATGCAGAAGCCAAAATGGCTCGCTCACAACTTTCGTGCCAGTAGCTCACAAAGTAGAACTTTTGCTCACAAGACTCCACAGCTTAGAGGGAATATAACCAGTGTTCCCTCTAAGCTGAGTTAGTGTGAGCTTTTTAGCCTCCGGCTCGCACATTTTTGTCTTCGCTCAGGAAGGGATGGCTCCAGAGCAAACTAATTTATGCAGCAGCCAAATCGCTCGCTCGCAACTTTAATGCCAGGAGCTCACCAAGTAGAATGTTAGTTCACAGGAATTCATAGCTTAGAGGGAGCATTGGATATAACGGCAGCCAATATTTGTGAGACGTTTCTTGTTATTGTAGCTGAGAGCAGTGAATCGGGTTGCCAGCCCTGGATTGGGAAATCCCTGGAGACTGCGGGGGAAGCCTGTGGTGGAGGGCAAAGTTTGGGGAGGGGGTGGGGCCTCCGTAGGGTATAAGGCCCGCCTCCAAAGTTGCCATTTCCTCCAAGGGAAGTGATCTCTGTAATGTGGAAATCAGTGGTAGATCTGCAGGCCAGTCCTGGAGAGTGGCAACTCTAGGGCCGGGCTGCCAGGAAAACAGAGCCATTGCAGTCTGGAATGGTCCCCCCACCACACAATGTTCCTTCTATCGTTGTGTGTCCCAGATCTGCACCAACACTCCCTCTAAGCTGTGGAGTCCTGTGAGCAAAAATTCTACTTTGTGGACCCCCTTCGGATTCTTCCGAAGTCCCAAACTGAGGTGATAACCTCCAAGAACTCCATTATGAAGAAATAGATGGACCTCCTGAGGGCACCTGGTCTTTTTGGCCACTGTGTGACAGAGTGTTGGACTGGATGGGCCATTGGCCTGATCCAACACTGGCTTCTCTTATGTTCTTATAAGAGGGAATTGGATAAACATATGTAGCAGAGGTCCATCTGTGGCTATTAGCCACAAGGTATAGATAAGAACTTTCGGTCTGGGGCAAGGGATGCTCTGTCTTCTTGGTGCTTGGGGGGAGGCAACAGTGGGAGGGCTTCTAGTGTCCTGGCCCCACTGCTGGACCTCCTGATGGCACCTGGTATTTCTGGCCACTGTGTGACACAGAGTGTTGGACTGGAGGGGCCATTGGCCTGATCCAACATTGGCTTCTCTTATGTTATTATATTGTTTTAAATGATAAATTATGTTGTTTTAAATGATAGCAATTAAAGACTATTAAACTTAGAATATTATGAGAAACAGCCTGAGATTTATGAAGGAATCATTGTAGAAGCCTAATTGATATAAAATAATAATCATTCATTATCTGTTTATTAAATTAGGTATTATTTGTCTAGGAGTTCGAGGAGAGGATAATAATTGTTTAACAAGCAATCACTGGTAGTGAATAAGACAATAATTTCATTTATATTAAGTAGACACTGGCAGTGCTATAGAGTAGAATTGGAAGGAATAGCTTGTATACTATTCCAAAACTGTATGATATCTGTGTTATGAACATGCGATATGGAAAATAATAAAATATATTTTAAAAATTCTTCTTTGTGAGCTACTACTGGCATTAAAGTTGTGAGCAAGCCATTTGGTTACTGCATAAATTAGTTTGCTCTGGAGCCCTCCTTCCTGAGCTAAGACAAAAATGCATGAGCTGGAGGCTAAAAAAAAGGTGAGCTAGCTCACACTAACTCAGCTTAGAGGCTACTGTATGGTTTAGTTTGGCTACTGCATCAATTACTCTGCTCTGGAGCCATCCTTCCTGAGCGAAGACAAAAATGCGTGCGCCAGAGGCTAGAAAACGGTGAACTAGCTCACGCTAACTCAGCTCAGAGGGAACACTGACTGCAAACCAGCCATGCGGATCTTCCCTGGCACAAGGAAGCAGTGAAATATTTATACTGTACAGATAAAAATATCCCAGGCAGCTCAAACAATGGCTTCAAACCATGGGAATGCAATCCAAAAGATATCGTGGAGCGATTAAAATGTCAAGTGGAGCACTTCGAAGAAAACGGCTTCAAAAAGGATATGCTTTCCAGCCTCCCCCCCCCCCACATCCTCAGACCTTGTGAGGCCAAACCAGCCGCTGACTCCAGCTGAGTCTGTTATATTTTTATGACTCCCCCCACACACACACAAATAGCAGCCTCCAGAGGCCGGGAGTTTTTCTACGGAGGAACCGGATGCGTGCTTAACCCCTTCCCTTCTTTCTCCCTCTCTCCCCAACCTGCTTTTCAGAAAAGAACTCGTGGGCACTCCATGAAATTGCTGAGCAGTCGGGTTAGAACGGATAAAAGGAAGTCCTCCTTCACCCAAGGAGTGATTAACACGTGGAACTCACTGCCACAGGAGGAGGTGGTGGCAGCTTCAAGCACGGACGGCTTCAAGAGGGAATTGGATAAGCATGTGGAGCAGAGGTCCCTCAGTGGCTATGAGCCACAAGGACCAATTTCCCACTAGCCGCTGCTCTGTCCTCACTCTTCCTCCCTCACCCCAATTCCACGTGTCAATTTCCCACCACTTGCTGCACATCCACATTTTGCCCCGCAGCTTCACCCGATTTCCCACGCGTCTTCTCGATCCTGGATGTGGCAACCCTCCCTTTCCCTCGCTGGTGGCCAGAGGGCTTGAGAAATTATTGGAGACTAGCAGTAAAGCCCGTTGTGAAAGCAATATAACGGGATCTAGAAAGAGGCTC